AAAAATGAAAAATAAAGATACGGAAATGGAGCCCACTGTAAAATCGCCACCTTGCAAATTCTGCATAGCTCTCCAAAAACAGCAACTGACAGCTCACAAAGATGAGCCCCTCCCTACCAAAAGAAGATAATAAAACCTAATGCTACCCCCACAAAGGGGCAGCTTTTCCTGTCCACTTGTGCCTGTGCAGGTGTCCTTTACCTTACTGCCCCTTTTCTTAAAAAAAAAAAAACTGCTCTGTAAATGTAACTAATGTCTCTGACTCGTGGAGAAACTCGCTGCATGCCACTGAAAGGGGAGCTCTGGTGAAAACTTTCCCCAGAGTGAACCCAAGGACCCTGCACTCCAAACCCACTAACTCCAATAAAACGACATCAATAATATGGATATTATTTGTGCTTGCCATAATCCAAATTCCAAATCTTGTCTCAGAATGAAACCAGAACAAGTTAGAAAGCTTGAATTCTTCTTCCTACTTTGATAACAAAATCAAATAAGGGAAAGACTGTGTTGATGGGTTTTGGTTGTTTGCAACTTATGAAGGGTGTTCCCAGATCAGAGAAAATAAGCAAAGCAGGATAAAGTGAACAAAGGGGTTGGACAAATATGTAGATTTGTAACAGGTACAGGTTTCATGGACTCCACCCCCACTCCAGATACTGGAACTCCCAATCCCATCAGTACCAAGGAGAAGCACACTGGAACATGAGGGCAGAGCTGAGAAGCCAGGTTGGGATAAAACCAGACATGTGGGCTCTGGGGAGCTCTTGCCCTGGTGGTTCGCGGCTGATCGTTTTGGTGCTCAATCGGTTTGCAGCGTGCCGGTGGAGTCCAAGTCAGCAGAACTGGTAGGATATCCTAGTTACCCTGTGTTTCTCTCCCTCTTTCCCTGGGTTATTCCTTTACCTTTCTCCTTATAAATAAATCCATTATTTAACCTTTTGAGTGTGTCCATAATATGATTGAATCATAAGCGCACGGGTGAAGACCCACAGACAGGCAACCCAGTTCACATTGGGGTGCCCTGTAACACCATCATCCTCACCATTGGAACTGCTCTTCCTAAATATACCAGTGAACTCTTTACTGCTACATCTCATATTTCTGTTAATTCAGTGCTGTTTCTTTATATGCCTGACACAAACTATGCAACTTCTGTTGACTGACAAATTCCAGAATGAAGGGAAAAGCTCTGAAAAATCAGAATTTCCATGTTACGACCTCCCTTTTTTGTATAATCATAATATCAAAATATTCTTAGCAACCATCAGTTTACAACTGGACTGCCTTAGCCTCATAAGGTGCTGCCTGGCCCAGACAAGCAGGCGCTGCCCTAGGGTGGGAAATTCCTCTTGAAGTCAAAAGTAATATTACAATTGGCTGTTAAATAAAAGCAATTAGATGTTATAGTAAATCAATATTGTAAAACAAGGCAGCACTAAGAACATGTTAAAAAATAACCAGAGTGCTTTTAATGCCTGGAAACAATAACCCAAATCCCATCACTCTACTATCTTACTTAGGCTTTCTATTGTTCAGTCTTTAAATGAGGAAGTTTACTTAAGCTTTCTGTTGTTTAGTCTTTAAATGAGGAGCTCTACTATATCTCTTTTAGTGATGGATTTACAAGAAAACTTCTCCACCCTGGCCCTCAGCTTTACTTACCTTTTTCACTTCAGTCTCAATGAGAATGAAGTTCATTAAATTTTAACTAGGCTTAAAGGGACTTCATTTTAGCTAATCTTCTCTGTGGTAAATATAGCAGTGTTAGTCTTAAATTTTATGAATTTATGTATCTATTTTAACTTTAATAGATTGTTTTTTTAAGATTTATTTATTCATGCAGAATTGGAGTACAAGCCAGAGGTGCAGGGGTGGTGAGCAGCTTCACCAGAGACAGAGTGGGGAGCAGAACAGGCAGATCCATGAAGCACACTGCTGAGGGGAGCAGCGGGCGTGTCAGGAGAGGTCTGCTGCGCCATGTGGGCCACGTCTGGGGCTGGAGATCAAATTCGCACTCAAGCTGCAGCATCCAGCTAGCCGTACTGCATCCTACTCCATTGTTCCACCAGGGAGGGCCCTAATAGATTGATTTTAAGAATAATAAATATTTTAATCTTAGCTGAAGGTCAAAATGATCCCAAACTGTTCTTAGGAAGAGGGATGATTGTAATCTTTCTGCTTAATTCATATACTAATGTTATCTCACTGCTCGCTTGTAATGTATAAATAAAGTCCTGCTGAGACCAGAGACAGGAGACACTTGCACCCTAGACTGACTCCCCCCTCCATCTCCTCATTCCTGCTTCCCTTACCCCCAAAAAACTCTGCCTGCAGACGCCATTTCGCACCTCTGAAGCTCTTGCTTCCTCCCCACACCCCATTTGTTGAGACCAGTCCCCAGAATTTGCCATCAGTGACACCATATTCTATTCATTTCCTCCATTTCTGTGTGGTGCAGGCCAAACATCTCATACTGTCTGATGAAGTCCAGGTATAAGGGGGTGCCCCTGAAAAGTCAGGGACCCCAAAGATGACTCCTACTGGATCTCTTTGTTTTGTTTTGGCCACTCCTGTATTTGCAACCATTTTTGCATTTGTATGCATTTGATAAAGTAAAAATTGATTTTACATTTGGTTGTTCTAATAAAAGCAATTGGCTATTATTGTAAAGTTAATACAGCAAAATTAGACAGTACTAAAAACATATTGTGATAATATGTTCCTGTCCAAACCAATAATTCAAATTCCCTCATTGCACTATCTTCCAGATGTACACACTAAATTAAGCTCCGGAGGAAAAAAAACTTTGGGAACCAAAAGCTTAAACCTTTGTTGTTCAGCCTTCAACTTTCTCTCTCTTAATGTTAGAACTGAGTACAGTAAACTTTTTCATTCCTTACCCTGGCCTTGTTTTAAACTTTTTTTAGGATGCTTTAATAAAAATGAGGATCCTTAGTAATTAGCGATAAAAGAAGCTTTCCTTTTGCCTTGCTAACCTTTTATTATAAATATAAATGTTAGTTATAACTATATAAATTAATCTGCCTGCTTTATCATTAGTAAATTGTTTGCCCAGCTGCAATAATAATTATAATAATAATTATAATATTATAATAATAATAATAATAGTTGTAATGACATTTTGCTTGTTAGCAATGTTTTCCTTAAAAAATGGTAAGTGTGGGCCCTCCCTGGTGGCGCAGTGGGTTAAAAGCACTGCACTGAGAAGCTAAAGCCTCTTCACATGAGTTCGATTCCCGCCTGCCCCGGAGGTGACCACATGGCACGGCAGACCTCTCCTGACCTGCCCGCTGCTCCTCTCAGCAGTGTATTTCAGTACATCTGCCTTTCTGTTCCCCACTCTGTCTCTGGTGAAGCCTCTCACCGCCCCTGAGCCTCTGGCCTGTACCCCAGTTCTGTATGTACAAATAAAATAAATCTTTTAAAAAAAATGATAAGTGTTACAGTCTTGGCTAAAGATCAAAAGACTTCAAACTGTTCTTAAGAACATGTGATAGTTGTTTTTTTTTACTCAATGCATATGCTGATGTAATCCCACTGCTTGCGAACATAAAATAAAAGACCTGCTGAGACTAGCTGCAGACGACACTTGCACCTGAACAAGTGTGGCCCTCATTCACCTTCACCAACACCGTCATTTCCTACAGGAACCTCTGTCACCCCAATTGTTGGGGCTGGTCTCTGACATCTGTGGTCACTCCTGCCCTGTCTCCTCTATAATTTGCTCCTTCTCAACATAATATTGAAATACTTATTCCAGGCTTTGTTCTCAGTCTATGATATCTCCCTAATTTAATTCATTAGCTTGGATTTAATGGCCATCCATTGACTAGAGAGGGAAAGAGGACCCCTCTCTTTAGTGATCTAGACCATGTATGTTGAAATCACAGCACCTCAAAATCAACTTAGCAAAACTTGAAGTCTGTCTCTCCCCGAAAACCTCCAGTGTTTCACTCTCGCCCAAAACCTGCAGCAAACTAGCACGACCATCCAGCTTGTTACCCAGGCAACAACAACAAAAACAAAGAGTTAACTCCTCTCTCTTACTCAGCCCCTATCCAAGATCTAGAGTCCTTTTTTCTAAATGATCCATTAATTCACCCACTGAGCAATGATATCACTGGAAACCAAATAGTTGAAGAAAAGAATCTGCATCCTAGAAAGGAGGGACACACCAGAAATAAACTAGATAATTGCAGGTTTGGATAATACAATTACAGAAATAAATAAGGTGATTGGGACAACTGACAGGATCTCCTATAGATGGGGTAGGCGAGGAAGGCCAGTCTGAAGAAATGAGTTCTGGGCTGAGATGTGAAAGAAAAGGAGCTAAGCATTTAGATATTAATGTAGAAGCACCTCAGCAACTGGAGGCCCATGAAAGCCTTTATGATAGAAAAGAACTTAATGTTCTCAGGAAACAGAGGAGACTCATGACTGTGTACAGACATATCTCCATAAAAAGGAGGTGCCATGTTCCCTGCCCCTCCTAATGTGGGGGGGCAGTAGGGAGGGGGTTTCTGAGCAGCCAGGTGAAGCTGTAAAACTTGGAGTGTAGGTACAATGGGGAGACAAACAGACTAGACAAACTAGGGGAGACACTTGGCGAGAGACAGGGGTGTGGAGGAAAAAAAAGCCTGCTTGCTTCTCAGCTTTGGACCTGTGTCGCTGCACCTCCTGCAGAGTCTGCATGAGCGTTCACGTGGACTTTGCTCAAAGTTCAAGGAACAGGACACGCAGAGGGACAAAGTGGCACTTTGTGATATCTTGGAGCCTGGCTTCCTATTTGCTAGATTCTGTTCTTAATAATACTGTTTACTGTACTTTATTCATGTGCTTTCAAGAAGCCTGCTATTCATTCAACTCCTAGTAATCATGACAGTATTTCTTTCTATAATGATGAGCTTGCCACTGCCAGTAATGAAGTTAATACAAATCCAGTGGAGGAAATTACTCTCCCACCAAATGCTTCCAGAATGTTACAGTTAATATACAAAGCGGCCCAGTCTGGAGGGGACTCTGTTGGGACTCTCTTTGATGATTTGGAACAGCTGGAAATATTTAATTCAGAGGATAGTAAGAAAAATGATAGCGAACTAGTAAGTTTACAAGCTAGACAAATACAGAAAGAAAAACCAAAAAGAAGGTTACGTCCAGCTATTATGACTGATTTTGGACCAGCATATATCCTGGGAAAGAGCTTCCAGAACCAACAGATGAGCCTACCCCATATACAGGAATTTATTATAAGGGTCAAAGAATAGTTAATGTAGAAGGAAAAAGAGTTAGGTGGTTGAGTCTTAGCTTTTGGGAAAGATTAAAAAGGTCAAGTCCTCCTTGGTGCACATTAAGCAAAGCACAACAAGTGTCTATTTTAGAACAATACCCCAAGTCTCTACCATATTTGCCTAGTCATAAAGTTACTGAATGGCAGTGATATAGAGACTATGTAGCAGAAAGATATAAAAGACCCTTTGAGCAAGGCAACAACTGGGAATGGAATTAAAAGGTTAATTAGACAAGATGTACCAGACAGATGAATGACCACATTCACCCATGTCTTACACCAGTAACCACTATTTGATGTTCCCAGCAGATTGTCAGCTGCTTCCCCATCTGCTTCTAAGAAAATGTAAAACATCACCTTTTGTTTCAATATGTACTATTCCGCTAAATATGTAACTAAACGCTGATGTAATCATTATTTTTGCCAAAAAATACTGTATAAATATGAAAGCTTACTTCTCCACATTACATTCAGATATGCACTCTTGAAGTCGTGTCTGTCATTTATTGCGCCGAATCCTTATCCACCTCCCTCTGAGACACCCATCACCCTCTGAGACTCCCCACTGTACCGGTCCCCAGCAAACCTGCACCAGGACTTGGGGGATGTGAAAGAGACACATGGAGTTGAGACATATAGAGACACTTGAAAGAGACCTGTGGGAGGCCACAAAGGCAGCCTTTATCTCGATTTGCTCCTTTCTCAAAGGTTACCCAAGAGAAACATGGGTTCCTGGAAACCCAGAGAGGTGGAAAAGGGGATCTTGAAACCTGTCCTTGTGTTAACCTTCAACTAGCACTAGAGATGGCGGCACAGAACCAGAACAATAAGGATCTAAAACAGCCATCCACTTCCTCCCATCTTCTGCCCAGCAGCACCCAGTCCCTATCTTCCACATACCTGACTGAATCCCAAAAAGCCCTTAAAACCTCCCCCAGACTCTGGTCCAGGCGTGACTTCTCCAGCCCCCAAAGGGGTCGGTGAACCTCACAGGGGAACGTTCCAGTGAAGGCTACTTTGCTAGCCATCTAAGTGCCTCGACACTTTCCTGACCTTCCTCTTTGTGCTTATCTGTAATACCACCGCTATCCTTTCACTTTCATTACAGACTTGCCTGGCCCCACTGCCCCTTTGCTATGTTTCCCTGCCAGAAGGTACCTTAGATTGTGGCAAGCTTTAGGGCCTCAGTGACCCCACTTTGATCTAATCTTGTTTGACAAGGCACTAAACCACAGGGAGATGGGTAACTTTGGGTGTTTCTTTGGGAAACTAAATCATTCCTCTTTCCTCATTCTATTAAAGATCTTACACACCACTAAACATGGAGCTTCCCTATGACCCAGCAATCCCACTCCTAGGTATCTACCCAAAAGACACAAAAACACTGATTGAAAAAGATACTTGTAC